ACCTGTAAGGTCTACCCAGAACGTCTGCAGCTATTTTGAATGTGCCGAGGACTAGTTGAGTGGCCTTGGTTTAACGAATCAGACAGGACCTTATCATACATGCGCGAATCAATTAAGTTAGTCGAGAGTATAGAGTCATTAAGTGAGTTTTGTGTATTATTATTATTATTTTTATTTCCTTTGATTTCTGGCGTTTACACATTTCTTTCCGGGTCCCGCCCTGGGACCTAAGGTTAGAAATGAAATCATCACACTTTCCACTGACAAAAATATATATATATATATATATATATATATATATATATATATATATATATATATATATATAATAATAATGTTTTGATACCACAAAACAAATATAATGATTTAAAGAAAATGAATTTTTTGTATGACCATTTTTTTTTTTTTTTTTGCAGGACCTAGGTAATTTTCGGCCAACGTTTCATCAGGGTCTTTCGTTGGCAAATGGTTTTGAACAAATAATGGAAATGAAAAAGAACGCCAAAATGATATGGTTGGAACACGTCTAAAATTTTACGAAGATATATATACGCCATCTGCCTCAAATTATTTAAACCATCGCTTTCTAAACAAAAGGAGAATTTTTCACGATCGCTAAATTTATTTTTTGATATATGAGCAACTTATTTTTCTATTTTACTGCTCAGGTTGGTTCATTTAATTAATTATTTACGCATTTGTTTTAATCGTAAATTTATTTTAATTTTACGTATATATATCTTCGTAAAATTTTTAGACGTGTTCCAACCATATCATTTTGGCGTTCTTTTCATTTCCATTATTTGTTCAAACCATTTGCCAACGAAAGACCCTGATGAAGCGTTGGCCGAAAAAAAAAAAATGATCATACAAAAGAAATTCATTTTCTTTAAATCAATATATATATATATATATATATATATATATATATATATATATATATGTATGTGTGTGTGTGTGTGTGTGTGTGTGTGTGTGTGTGTGTGTGTGTGTATTATATAGATAAAGCCCTTCGTAAAGTGTGGGCCGTACTTTTTGTATCTCTTTGAGGCATGGACTTCCAGGAATCCCTTCAATCCGTCTACTGCAATATTTTCCAACAATTCCTAGGGCTCCAACTACAACAGGGATTGTTGATGTTCCCATGTGCCACATTTTTGAGATTCCTATTTCAAGGTCCTTGTATTTTGACAGCTTTTTGAATATCTTCAAAGATACATTGCAGTCTGCAGGGACTGCGATATCAATAAGGAGGCACTTATGTGGGACGGCAAGTCTGATATGAAAATACTGATGTAAGGAAGAATTAAATATAAAAGGTATAAAAATTAATTGGAAAAGTGAATAATAAACAATTATCAAAGAAAAATTTAAAAAATAGTTAATGCTCTGAGAAACCAAACAGCATGTGGAACTGCGGAGAAAAGCGAAACATCACGATGGCATGATACAATCGAAACCGAAACAGAAGAAATGTCTTGGTCTCAAAAGACATTTTGAGTCGCATTTCAACCCTGACCACAATAAGATGGAAATACTTGTTGAAAAAGAATATATACCAATATACATTCCATCATTAGAAAGTTTCCAAATGTGAACAATAACAAACCTAGTGATATGAAAATCAAGAAGACTATAATAAAAAGCTGACGAATACTAATTCTTGGACAAAAACTGTCTTGGTGGAACTTCCTTCTTACTAATGGAATACAAAGGGAATCTGGATGATTCGACATTTTGTACCTGGCATGTCAGGACTTAGCTGTAAATGTCTGGACTCGTTAGACCATTTGCCATGGGAATAGCGATAGAGTAGCGATGTGCTTGCGACCTTCCGTCTGTGGGTAAGAGGCTGTAGGGTGGGAAATACAAGGCCGCGTAAACGTTTTTTAAACCCTGTTGAGACTGGAAAGTGAAGGCTGATAAGCACCAGTTCAGATACGGTAGCAATGCTTCAGGTTTTGTTTGATTTAACTCTTGTAAAGATAGAAATGAAGAGTCCGATACAAACGATAGACACAAGGAACTAAGCATGTTTCCAGTATTTTTTTAGCAATCGACCGTATTAGATGAGTTCCACTTGATGTCTGGAAGAAACCTGTGTCCCAATAGATGTCCCGGGTAAGGAACCTCGTTGAGATTATAACCATTCATTATGCGGAAAAAAGAGGGCTTCGAAAATCTGACACTCAGAGGACATATCGAAAGCAAGAGGGGCAGAGGAAACAGCGCATAACCTAACAAGCTTGTGCAAACGGATGGCAGAACAGCGTTTAGGAGGGATAGCAAAAGAGACACAATTTACTAAGAAATGCGAAAGACAGGAAAATGATCGTCTACGTACTGGAAAAAATTGAACCCGTGGAAATTTCACGGTTTAATGATTCAGTATGTCACTTGCGACTTGTACGACTATAAAATAACTATGGCAATTCCCCTATTGTATTGTTAAATATTTGGGCATAACAGCTTTAACGAAATATTGCAAAAAACAACCATAAGTATAAAGGCGTATCATTACTTTAAGAAATAAGGGGATACAAATGAAAATATTTGAAACTGACAAGTTTTTCATTTCACTGAAGTAGATGTTGAACGCATGAGAGCGTCATCGTCTCTTTCTGCTTGTCACTGAAACGAAACAGCGTCTCTGATATGTCATTCCCATCTTTCCTTGTGATCAAAGCGAAAAAAAAGAGGTAAATGAAAGCCGTAAAGTACTCGCTACCTAGTCATCTAATAAACTAAATAAATAAGGAACGAAGGAATAAACAGAAGCATAACATGATGCTTTGATTAGTTTCCAAAAATATCAAGTTATCACTTTCACTGCTATTCGATTACTTTCTTCTTTTTTCTTCTCTTGTTATAACGTATAACGTTCTTTTTTTGAACGTCACCATTTTTTTTCTTTCGTTTACTCAATGCCACAGAGGCAGACGATAGCGATACTGACTTCTGCGATGTCACCGTTATCAAAAGACATTTGAAAATGTTTCATTAAATTAATTTTGCTTATGAGCAATCAAAGACTTTTATCCATGCAATTAACTTCATTGTCGCATATCATTTTACAATTGAAAACAATTTTGCTTTGCTAAAATCATTTTTAAATTAAAAATATCTAAAGAAAGCTAGCTAAAATGTAACGTGTTAATGACCATATTTCTAGCAACTGCGAGTAAATTGTATGTCACCATAACAAATGAATGTTGTATTATTTGAAACAGGGACGGTCAGGAGTTGACCAATGAACTCACATGGGATAAACTCATGTGTTGTTATTAATATTGAGCTCCTTGATAAAAATCCAACGAAGAATCAGCAATATTATTAGTCCTGACCTGGCGGCTCAACTGCAGTCACTTTCCCAACGCCGTAAAGTTGCCTCCCTGCGTCTTCTAAATATATTTTCGTGGAAATTGCTCGGATGATCCTAACAAGCTTTCCCTCTGACATAGATTGTTTCCAATAGCTTTAAATGTAATAACAAGATCAACAAAACATACAGCTCCGACATCACTGAGCACCTTATAAATAATCCAAGTTGTGCCAGCAATCTCAGCATTGACTCTTTCTCCATTCTTAGTCTTTCTCATTCTTTATTACATTTGAAGGCATTGGAAACGATCTATATCAGATCCAGAGAGCACTCCCTCTGTAAACAGAGGGAATGTCTGCTAGGGCTTGACATTATTTCCATCTAATTGTTCTGCCTTTATTTCATTGCATGCTTCTTATGTTTTATATTTTATATCTTATATTGTAACATTTAGTCTTCCCTCGATTTCAGCTTTGTTGAGTGAGGGCAAAACCTGTCGGCTGGTTACTTTTTTCTTAATAATGATTGGTAAAGATCGTCTTGCCGTTTTTATTTCCATAATAAAATTCTGTACCCATAAGAAAATAATGGCGTATTCTTATTGTTGAGATGTTGTGAGTTTCCCGCGTGTCGGTGTATGAATCAAGACAAACACAGTTGTAGAGGAAAATACTGGTATATTCATAAAAGTGTTAACAATAGAGTGATTAGTAGAACGAAGATTGGTTAGTACGAAACAATATCCAAAGTCTATAGTCCAACGGTATGTACCGGGTTTTATCTGGACTTCGTTGACTCTCTCTGACGCTCTGTCACTCTCTCTCCAGAGCTGACTTATATTCCATTACTAGTTAGAAGGTGGGTGCCCCAACACTTATTTACTGAATACAGCCAGTTCATCGTGTTTTTGATCATAGTTAATATTATTAATGTTTTTTTTTCCTCTGTCTTTTCTACGAATATTTTCATGGTAACTGCTCTGGCGAGCTATTTTCATTGGTACCCTGACTGCATGAATTTAAACGTGCCACGCGGTTGGCATCTCGGTCCCAACCTTTTCAATGTCGAAACAGTTAAATGTAACCGCCTCTTCTACTCCAACATCTTCTTCTCTCGCACTTCTTGACAGTGGAACTTCCTTTCTCTTACTTGCTTTCCTGATAACTATAAACTTAAAATATTTATATGTAATGTCAAACTACATCTTCTGTTGCCTTGATCCCTGTTCTTCATTTTATCCTCCTCCATTCCTCTTTTTATCCTTTTCTACCCCCCCTACTTTACCCAGTCCCCCCCTTACTTATACTCTCTGTAGCCCGTTGCTTACAAGTGACACTTCCGCCTTGCTTAGAGTGAAAAGATTAACAAAATTATAAGACCTTCCATTAATTTCAGACTTTTTTGTAATTGATAGTACGTATCAGATTTGTATTCTCGATTGAGTGATTTGTATCTTACGGCTTATCAACATTTTGTGGGTTATTTAAGGTAGTAATTATGTTTAGATTTTTTTTGACATAATAATACCATTACTGACACAAGTCCTACTAATTAACCCATAGTTTGGAGAGAAGATGGTATATGCTCGTAAATGAATATAACAAAGACTGGAATTTGAACGCGGCTCTCCGATTTTCAATTCCGAGCCATTATTTATCATACTACCCGCACATTTAAGATGACAGCCCCTCGTATTCCCAAACGGTCACCCATCTAGGTACTGACCAGGCTCAGCGTTGCTTAACTTCTGTTATCGTAAAGAATCGGTAATTTAGTGGGTGGTGTGCCCAACATAATTTATTTCTGAATATGTCTTATTCAGGAACGTAATTCCCTAAGTGGCATTTGAATTCATATTGTTGATGTTTATAGCATTTTTACTTCCGCCGGTGGGCTGTTGTTTCTGTTGATAAGGTTGGCACTTTCTAAATCTTATATAATAGATAATTACCTTGATATTTATATAATTTTTATTTTAGGTAATTAATTTAATTTCTTTTCATGAAAACCAAATGCACAGAAAGGACGAATTTTATCTCTGAAATATTATAAAAAATGCATTACTCCAGTTGAACAATAAATTCGGATTAATAACACGTAGAAAGAGAATGTCTCAAATCGAGAATATTTAACATCGAAAAACATAAAGGAGAAAAAAATTAATTATTTTTAATAATATGTGGAAATCGCCACCCTTTGCCTGATGACGGTCGCGAGCTCAGAAACACATGTAGTAAAATTATGGAAACTTATGGAAAATAAAGCAAAATATTAAAAAAATCCACATTACAACCAAAACGTTTTTCTTTAATAATATATATATATATATATATATATATATATATATATATATATATATATATATATCATATAAATCAAAAAGAAACAAATTATACAAAGAATTAGATTGCAATGTCAAATTGATTCAGAACTTCAAGAGACATTAATTTACTATCAATTCCTTGAATAATAACATCCTTATATTCGAGTTGTTGTCAGATGCCAAGCACTTTCGACAATTTGAAATTGTCATCTTCAGGGCGCAATACTCTTATATATAGCTAAATACTAAGACGAACGATGTTTAGAACGAAAGATGTTCTTTTAAATTATGCTATTTATTGACAGATGAATATATATTTGGAGCGTGCGATGTCACTACGCCAGAGTTCATGTTCAAGTGAGAATTTTTTTGAATTTTGAAAAGTTAGAAATCCACGAAATTTTCTTGCTATATGTATTTATCTGTTAAAGTGAAATGGACTTAGTATAATCCAATTAGTAGAGAAAAATATTTTAGTAGTGTTCTATAGAATTTAAGATACATATAACAAAAAAATTCGCGAATTTATAACTTTTCAAAATTTAAACAAAATTCTCACTTGATCGATTTGCACAAGAACTCTGGCATGGCAAAATCTTATAAGAGATATTAGAAAAAATATGAATCCTCGGGCAGGATTCGAACCTGCGTTTCCCTAGGGAAAACCATCATTCGATCCGGCGCCGGGCTTTAAAATCTCGGCAACGGAAACTGTCGATGACCAAGCAAAGTTGAATTGTTCTTTTAAGCACAGATTTTCCTCAGACTCTTCAAATAGACGTATCTCCTCAATTCCGTATCCTAAAGTAAACAAACCAATTTCTAAAGAAAGGAATGGATTTTATATGTCTGTATGTATATATATATATATATATATATATATATATATATATATATATATTCTGTTTATACGTTATGTTTATAGATATAATTTATTTAAGTAATTGTTCTCTTTTTAATTACACAGTATAGCAATACAGATTCTATTGCTGTCTGAGAACGCATATTTTCTTCAAAATTTCTCGGTAAATGTAATTAATATGTTTAATTGAAAACAGAGCATTTACTTAATTAACCTGTATCTATTAAAATACCGCATAAAGAGAAAACATTTGTCGGATTCATCCATTTCATGACATACAAACGGAGGTATCTGCAAAATAACGTTTAAAATATTAGGATATATATATATATATATATATATATATATATGTGTGTGTGTGTGTGTGTGTGTGTGTGTGTGTGTGTGTGTGTGTGTGTGTATACCAGCAAGCAGAAAACTGAACACAGGTCAATAGTCTATTTCAGGCGTGAACACAATCTTCAGGCCATGTCTGTTGTGTTTTGGTTCTACTATTTATATATGCTGGTAAATGATTAAATAATGAGTAACAAATTATCAAACAACACTATAAAATAGCTACAAATAACTGCATTTGAATCCACAATTACTCTTACACAATAGTCTCTAGAATAAATTGAAAAAATAATTGTTAGGATAATACAATATACCTTGCTACCCATAATGCACTATTGGCCAGCATACATAAGTAAAAACGCAACTTACATGAAGATTGCGTTCAAGCATGAAACACTGTCACCACTTGATGTTGACCACAGTGTCCACTTTTATATTTACATACACTCTTTGACACTGAGTAATTTTCCTATAAATATAGTATACCTTAAAACTATATATATAGAGAGAGAGTTCTATGGAGTAGGTATTAAACATTGTTGAAATCTGTTGATTCAGTGTAGACTTTATCCTGTAGTTAATTTTCAATGAAAAGGGAAATTTTACATATATCTACAGTGGTTCACACACACACACACACATATATATATATATATATATATATATATATATATATATATATATATATATATATATATATAAAACTGAACACAGAGGTCAACGCTGAATGTCAATAGTCGGTTTCATGCGTGAACACAATCTTCAGGCCATGTCTGTTGTGTTTTGGCTGTACTATTTATATATGCTGGTAAATGATTAAATAATGAGTAAAAATTTATCACACAACATTATAAAATAGCTACAAATAACTGCAAAAGACAAAATTTACTAAGAGCTACAGAGGACAGGAAATTGTGGAGAGCAATGGTCGCCAATATCCTGAAGGGAAGAAGATATGTATAAATGAACAGGCTTATTTAATGGATTATTAAAATAAACAAATTTATATAAGTTTATTTATCAAAATAAATAAATATACAAATTAAGTAGATAATAAAAACAAACTACAAATAAACACATAAACACAAATAAATCTAATAATGATAATAATTAACAACAAAAAATTAAATAATGAGTAAAAAAAAAATTAACAAACAACACTATAAAATAAGCTACAAATAATAGCATTAAGGATCCACAATTATATCTAGTTTACAATCATTTCAAATATAAAAGTTACCGGCCACTTAATGGCCGTTAGGATAATACAATAAACTGGAAATATCTGACTTTGCTACCCATAATGCCACATCAACCATATATAAATAAAGATTGCGCTCAAGCATGTAACAGACTATCGCTTCTGTCTTTGGCAGAGAGGAACCCAAACGAGGTTTTGCCGCGGGGCAAAGTTTCGACCGTGGAGGTAGACAGGCCCTGAATCCATTTATGCGGGTTCTAAGAGAATATTTTTGGCGAAGCCTACGGGCTCGGGGAACCCACGGTAAACTCGGTCCCATGGAGTGGGGCTGTTACATATTAACAGACTATCATATCTTGGTGGGTGTTGATTTTAGTGTTAGAGATAGGCGACTGATCTCTCTTCGGCAAATGGATAAAAACATGCTGGTTACATTCAATGCCTCGAAGACCAAGCTATCTTGCTGATCTGACCCTATCAGAACTATCACCAGTCACTTGCATAAGCCAGTATCAAAGATGAAAATTACTTTTCAATATATCAACCAATACACGGACGGAACAATAATGCTAGTCTGTTTTTGTTGCATGAAAAATTTCAATGCAACGACTAACTCGTGTATACGAGACGCGTAATTTTAGTAATTCATTATATATATATATATATATATATATATATATATATATATATATATATATATTAGTAGTAGTAGTAGTAGTAAGAAACTATACTCATTCGGAAAACCTTCGGTGTCTTGATTTGCAAATAATCAAACCAATACTGAAGGGGGGAGGTATAAAAAAGAAAGAACCAAGAACATGTACGTTAGCCGAAAATAATCGTCTAGCATGCAAGTCCAAAGCCCAAAGAGAAAAAAAAAACGATACGAGAAAGCAAAATAACTAAATAAATTGCTCAATACAATAAGTAGAGCAGACCTAGTTAAACCTAGAGTGACAGGCAACCTACCACGGTTTCACCTTAGTGGATCGTCAGGGAAGCCAATGATAATTGACCGGTAATTTGGACCAATTTTGAGGAATATTAAAACTTGAAATTTCAATAAAAATAGGATAAATATTCAAATAAAAGCTGAAAAAAGAATGAAAAAGAATCATAAAAATACTTAAAACGATATATATATATATATATATATATATATAATTATTTTTTATAAAAAAATTATAACATAAGTATGTTATAAAATCACTACAAAAATAGCCATTTTGTTTCAACACACTCTGTGTCTTATCAAGTGATGATGTTGAAAAGAAAATAAATGGTTTTAAAAGTTTCAGATTAATTAACGATCCTACACTAGGGGGAAACATTGTTACAAAAAGCTAGAATAACCAATCAAAAAACAAAGTATAGAAAGATTCAAAAAGCTTGACAACGAAATCCTGCTATAATAGCTATTCAGATCTTTAAATACGTGTAATATTAAAAATAATTTATACTAACTAATAATTATAAGTTTATATGATAAAATTTAATATTAAAATTAAAAACTGGCAATTTTAAAAATCCAAATTTAATCACTATTAAGTTTAAAAACTACAAAATTATTGAGAAAAGAAAAAATATATATGTTTATTCAATTCATTTCTTCATTGAAATTACGTTCGACAAGACAAGACGCTACAATACATCCGGTCATTTGACAATACATGTATATATATTTTTTTCTTTTTCCCTTTCTTTTTCCGTTTTTTTTTTAAAGTTTGTGAATATGGTCTTAAACTCACGCGTGGCACAACAAAAAACACAATCAGATTATAATACATAAGCACCTAGACATAATTAGATACACACACACACACACACACACACACAAACATACACACACACTAAAAAAAAAAAAAAAAAAAAAAAAAAGGAGGTGGGGGGATACATGAACATCTCTACAGCCCTTTATGAAAAAAGGAGACGTGGAAACTAACACTTATACACACACACAGTTAAATGTGAATACACTCTACATACACATAGACACCGATATATACACATACATACATCCACAGACAATGACATAGACAATGAGAAATCACAACCAGTAAATAT